TTCTGGGACGGCACACCTCTGCACTTCATTATTAACTCCCAAAGTACACAGACTCCCGAACTCCGTCTGACCGCCTCTCAGCAAGCACTTAACACACTGCCATCCCCTGTCTGCCCTCAGCTCAGCTGGTGAAGCGATTGTCCTGTCTTCTCCCAGTTAAACCACAAGGTAACATCATTGACACCCATTAAGGCTTCTTATTTCCAGGCATATGCTATTTTTTGTAAAATGGAGACCAACATGTTGCTGGGCAACACTGTAAGCCAGTCAGGCCAGGCACCCTATTGCACTGGAATCTCCTCACATTTAGCTACTTCCCTTAGGACGTACTCACACTTGGTCCAGTTACCTTATACCTTACCCGAGCACGGTGTCCCCCCTCCCCACTGCCCCACTGGCTTGTGCTCAGCTTGCGCTTAACATTCCAGCCCGGAGCACCCTTTCATCATCACCGTGCAACTTTTTGTGCTGAAGAAAACATAGGAAGAAAAGCACTTTTGATGCGCAGTGCAATAGAATTCATAATTAATGGCCTTAATTTGCGGCTAATTTGGAGTCTTTTTGGTCATGATGACACCCGGCCCTCTTATACATTTACCGAGTATGCAATGTAGGGATTTTCATTTAATTGTGCTACAGAAAATAGTTGTGTATTTTACCAAATATGCATGCAGTTTCAGGTATATGTCATGTGTTGCATCCAGTTGTTCCTGGATTCTCTCCACTGCAAACACTGCACCTCTGCTATAGATCAAAGTGATTCTTTTGCTGCAATAATTGTTAAATATTTGCCGCTATCCGATCCATCCCTTCCTGGCGCAGTTCCTGTATAGTGTACATATGTACGTGTGTGTGTCAGTTGCATAACTGACATTACGCCTGTGTTCTGCGTCTGGACACAGTTAGCGATCACACTAGACGTGCACCGTGCGAGTCCAACTGAACTGTGCCCCAGTGCACTTCTTCAAGAGGTACGGAGTGACCACACCAGTCAAACAAAGTGGATTTTGGGTGTCCAACGTGCTGGGGAATGGTACGAGTCACCGAGTGTGAGTACATCCTTAAAGCGCCATTTCTTGGTACTGAGCACAACTATTCTAAAAAGAATGCAGAACATTTTGTGAGAAGGGATTGCTGGTGTGCAGTGTGCTTTAAATAGATTTGCTGAAAATGAACCATACCCCTAAAACTCTAAAGCACTTTAGCTAGCGATACCTTGAATCCCATCTTTCACTCAAGGCTCATGTCTTCCTTTAAGTATGCACATTTAATTAAAGAAAAATGCCTCTAGTTCTTAGCCAAATGATATAGAAATGAAGTCAGAGGAGGTATTTTGTAATGAAAAAGAGTGGCCTGTTTTTTTGTCATTTCCGTAATTGAGTTTTAAACCATTCCAGGATAAGTGTCGCATCTCCATGCAACAATTATTGCATTTTTTTCTTCCCAAACAAATGAAACGCACGTGCCGTTAAGTGGGAAAAGCTGGCGAGCCGATTCCGACGTGGCTGCTGCCGCCGGGGGCACGCTGGAAACGACAGGCACCAATCAAAGGATTTTCAAAGGTTGCTTGCTGTAATTGGCTGTAACTTTCCTGAAGCTCACCCACCACACACACACACATACACCACTATTCCAATATGATCAAATAGTAGCCAATGACCAAGCTGAAATCCCCAGCATTCTTACATCAGCCTATCAGAGCCAGAGTTCTTCTGCAGGCAAAAGGAAGATCAGTGGGCTTTGCCACAGGTCTTCATAAGCCAAGTGCCGTATTTCATATCTAAGGTTATTCATTCAACAGTTGGGATCTAATTCTTCTGGGTGATTTTTGATCATTTCTTTGAAGAGGACTGGTCATTTGGGATGTATGTTAAGTCTATTACTACTCTACTACTCTCCTTTCATGTGTGATTGCCCCGCGGAGGAAGCGGGAGACATGTTACAGTGGTCGTCTTCAAGGGGGAAAGGCTATCTGAAGTGGCGAACAGGTTAAACTGTGCTCCCAGAAAATGACCCTACATGCGTGACGGATGGAAGCTTTGCGACACGCCTGCAAGGGTCAGGCAGCGCAGAAAACGCCGGAAATGGAGTCCAGGTGCCACCAGCCTCGTCGCTTTATTTACAGTCCATCGCGTCACTAAAACCACCTTCCCCTTTTCATACAGCCTCAATGTCAGCCAATGTTGTCTCAGAAAAGCGTTTTGCTCACTTTTTGCAAAAAAACAACCTATAAAATGAAAGCTTTTGCATTTTCATCCAAGAAGTTATTCAAATGTAATATTGTTTCTAATTTCCCAGTTTATTAACAGACATTATACATAATAATAATAATAATAATAATAATAATAATGTTCTAATAAAAAGTAATTACTATACTGATCATACAATATAATACTACTTCTAATAATAATAATAACAGTAATAATGATGACAATAATAATGATAATGCAATAATTAGGTAATTTTATCTTAAAAATTAAAAGAAAACAAATATCCTAAAACTGCTACCCTAAAATTATGGTAGTCGAGTTGGACTGAGCTGAGCTGTTTTTTCATTTTGTATGGCTCGTGTAATTATACATATAGACGTCACGCAGAATAGAGTCTGTGTGCTAGAATGCCATGTAAATTGCTGTCATGCAGTCTATAAATAAAAAATATCACTGTACTGTAATAGCCATGTCTATTGACTGAGAACTCCAGCAGGTGTAAAATGGATATTGATTAAGCTATTTTACTTTTCACCAAGAGGACAATCCCAGATCACACATCACATCCAGCAATCTCCCGTCTCCTTGGTGATGCATCTGGTTCCTGCAGTGTAGTGATCGCTTAAAGGAGTGTTTCCCAATCTGCTCCTCAGGGACCCACAGTTGGTCCATGTTTTTGTTTAGCTCCCTGCCAGACGGTCCACATTTTTGCTCCCTCCCAGCTCAGGGTGGGAGGGAGCAAAAACATGGACTGTCTGTAGGTTCCCGAGGACCAGATTGGGAATCACTCCCTTAAGGCAACTCTCTGCAATGCCAACAAAATGCCCTGATGGGGCAGCATGCCAGGGGCAGATAACTCACCCAGACCCACACCAAAGCAATACAGGGTGTTTTTCTTTTGCGTGGGGGGTGGGAGTGTGATATAACAACCTGGAATAGTCACTCTCTCGCATGCATCTTGATTTCGGTAAAATGACAAAATAGGAAGTGACACAGTTGGAAATGGCAAGGCACACAAGATAAATAATAAATCTCAGAGATGGCCTGAGTGTAAGAGAGGGAATATAATTAAGTGATGTGTTACATGGACACGATCAATTGCATTATGGGTGACTTAGAAGGACTGTGCAAGTCAATAATTGTGGCCATCATTTTGCGGCACCCCGGCACTTCCGTCGGCACTATTTGCCTGTAACAAATGCATGTATTGTTCCATTTTTTGTTTATTATCTGTTGAAATTGCAACACAAGAACAAATACCTGAAACTGCAGGCATATTTTAAGCAAAAACCTCACACACAAACAAGAACCGTCAGTTTACAAATAGCTATTAGCCAGTGGAAATCCAGTGGAAATCCAGTGGAAATCCAGTGGAAATCCGTGTCAGAACACGTTTTGACAACCTGGCATTAGACGTAATGGCCAAGGCGCAAAGCCAGCGCAGACTTTTCGCGGACCTTGCCGGAGAACGGCGGGTCAAAGTTCTAACGGATTGGTCTGCAGTTTTGGGGATGCCTGTGTCTTCTGGTAACTGCGGAGCAAGACAGTAAAATGGCTATAGGTGGGTTTGGGGCGACGTTGGGTGGAGGAAGGACTGGAAAGCAGCCAAAGCGAGCTGGCCACAGGCAGACCCTGAAAGCCGACGGGCCCCGATGCTTGACAAGCAACCTCTGTTTTGACAGGTGTCAGATGGTGCGTATTAGCTCTCCACCGACAGGCTTCTGGGAGCCTGCAACGCGGGCAGAACCGAGACTAGCGCTTTTGCAGGAAAATCACGACAGTGGTAGTGTCTGAGAACAAAACCATTACTCAGACCCCCTCCGCAACCTTTCACGGTGCCAAGCGCTGAGGCATCTGCCTTGTGTTAGCCTGTCTTCAATAGACGTCTTCCTGCAAAAACTCTACAACAAGAGCCGTTAGTAAGGGAAGGAAAGACGAGGCAACTGGTTCGTCCAATGGATTGTCTTTATTGCCGTTCAATCTAATTTTCCACATTAGGTCTGTCTAATGCTACACTGTGTTTGGCAGAGCCAGGACTGTGATGGTAATGCTAGGCAGATGGGTTTGGAGCTCAACTCTAGCAACATGGATGGCCTGATACTACTAGAGACTGCAAGGAAATTATTGTTAGTCTCGTTAATTATAAAAAACTGGATTCAAGTAATAGTTATGTAAAGTAATTGCTGGAGAAATGTTTTATTTCTCCTTTTTGTCTATAACAAAAAATTATGCATGTATATGCCTTAAAATACAGACAAGCTTTGATTTGAGAGGGAAAAAGATGCGGCTCACTTCTCCCAGAGGGTTGCTCACGTAAGTATGAAAGCAGGTTTGCTTATTTTAATATATTTCACAGATTTGTACCCTAAAGCTAAATGAAATGTAGAAGGTAAAAATTAACAAAAAAAAAAAACTGAAGCTGTATATTGAGTTTGAGTTTTTATTGGGTTTGTAGGCAATAATTACAAAAATGCGTAATGTGTAATTATCTTGAATAATATTCTTCAGCGTAAAATCTAACATATCCTATTTCGCCGGCTTGGTTATTAGCTAATCGTCTGTCTTTTATACCTATATGTGTGTGAAGAATATGATTATGTTTTTCGGACAAAATGTCTCTTTGCATAGTCACATTCCCATTCACGCATGCATTTTAGTTAGCAGGGCACTGATATTGGTGAAAAAAACCACAATAAACACTCTGCCTGTCAAATAATGAATCTGACACCTATGATCCAGTGAAAAGGAGGGGATTAGCAGTTAGCGGTGCCTATGTGTTCCATAACTTACCACCCTTGGATGCCGTGAACTCTGTAACCTTTTAAAGTCTCCTCACACAGTGTAGATACAGGCTGGCTTTCAATGCTCTGGCTGCATTTGAGTAAAAAAAAAAAAACATTAATTGTCTATTTAGTTGCTTAACCTTTGCTAATTTGACAATGCAGAAGATAATTAAATATATGACAGTATGACATTGAGTGAAATTTTAGCAATGTCCTACGGGCAACTTGTGTCATCCAAAAATAAAATACTTATTTTAATTGGCATTTGTTTGGAAATAAAATTATTCATCAGGAGAGGGAAATAGTGGATTTTATTAAGTCAAAACACTGCAGTAAATATTAAAATTGACATTATTGACATTACATAAATGGGGAACATTTCTGTTGGTTCCCACTGCCAATCATTTTTCAACATGAAGCCTGACGTTTTCTCAGCCCCTCTGCTGTTTATTTCTCACGGCGAGACTTTTCTGAAAGTTTATTTAGACAAAACTGTATGTATGATCCCGCCATATTCTCTATATGTTAGCTCGCTAATGCAATTCTCGCTAGCTGGCCCAGCGCACCTTCAGTCTTGGGACAAATCGGAGTGCTCCTCATGCTTGATAGCTCAACTTTAGCTCGAATGTACAAGATGTGGACAGCCAAGCGAAGGAGCGCGTTCCAAGACCCTGCCTGACGCTAATGACGTCCTGATGGCCCATAAAGAGGTTGGTTTTTTTCCCATAAGCCCTCATGCCAGTACTTTGATAATGAAACTTCTGAGTTCTGAGTCATGCCTGTCTCCCGAAGAGACTACACGACGAAGACGCCATGACCTCAGAGCAAATTACTGCATTAATTAACAGTACCCTAAATCGCATTACACTGCGAGGATGCACAGTATCACACATCCCACGGAGCTTTTCTAGAGAACAGAGAATGAGTCAGTGTGTCCCAGTAGGACACAACGCAGCCGACACCAAATATTACAGCATCGCAACATATTGTTGTATGTTACTATTATTGTTGCTTAGTAGACATTTTTTTGATTCTTTATACAATATATAACATTCATATATTTTATATACTGTATGAATAAATTATACATTAGCAATTGTATGTACTGTATCAATTATATAGCTATTCAGTAGACATATATTTAATAATTCTGATATAGACACCAGTTACACTTAAAAGTTTTCCTCATAAGGTCAGGCTTTACGTCAGTGATACGTTAACAATTCGATGTGGTTCTCAGAACAAGCAAAACATAACATTAAATACCGTTTATAGATGGTATACGTAGCTTTTAGAGGCTATGATTGGTGGGGGAGGAAAATGAGAGCGACAAGACTCTACTTCTTTGGGAAAACAACAACAAAACAGCCAATCTGGAATGTACTGCGTTGCCTATGATTTGCAGTTTATCGGCAGAAATAGATAATATAATATTATAATATAAAATTAAATTTTAATTTCTTTTTTTTAATTTTTTTTATATTTTAAAAATATGTGTAATAGGAAAAAAAATAATAATATAGAATATAAAATAAAATATAACAAATTAATATTATAGAACAAATTTATAGGATACAAAACATATTGCAATAGCTAATAAAAAGAGGCATATAAATGGTCCAAGAGCCTCCCAGCCCCAATGCAACTCTGAGTGGAAAAACAGCTGGAAGATGGATTTATATATTACTGTCAAATACCTCAAAGCATCCTGTTCTATATTCCCCAGCCTTCAGTCCCTGGCTTCCATGGATGGAAGACGAATGAAAGAATGTGATAGACTAGTGTTACTCTACAGGTTGTGCTTGTTTATTTTAATTTTAATTGTACCTATTGCAATATACCATCGGCATACATTTTTGCCTCCAAAAAATGGATGCAGTAGCAAAATCATAGCTACAGGCTGTGAAAATTGAATTTGATAGCAATGCCACCGCATAACAGAATACATTAATCGTTTGCAGGCTTTGGATCCACGGGAAGAAATTACAGAAATTGCCAGTTGCAGCCGTAATGGCAACATGGAGAAACCGAAATGAAGCTGACATGATCCCCGTTGACAGCAGTGTCACATAAGACACTTTCCACAAACCCAGCTCAGTCGACGAGCCTCGGGGGAGCAGACCCAGACCCAATCGATTACTGGTCGCTCGCTCTCTTTTAAACGCACGCCCGTAACAAAGATCTTTGTCAGTGCTATTTTGCCCGCAAAGTCGATAGCTAATCAAATAAACATTGTGTAACTGTGTAGCTCGTGCATTTTTTTTTCGTCAAACATGTAGCTTGAGTCCAATGGAGTTCTTGGCAAAAAAAATCTCAACAGCTGCGACGGAGGGAGAAGACATACGATATCTTATTTCACGTGTGAGCCAATGACGTCGCGAGGAGAAAATGTACGGTAATGACAATTGGTGCACTGGGTGGTTTTTTATATATTTTTTACAGGTACAGTACGAGTGCAGGCATCCAGTACATAGTACTCTGGAGTCTTGTGGACAAAGGCAACATTTTTACTGAGGAAATGGAAAAAAATCCATATAAAACCCAAGCTGAAGTTTCTCTGTCCCTCCTTGTCCTTTAGCATGGGGTACAATGGGTTTTTATGCCCGTTTGGGCCTTGTTTTGGCCTCCCCAGGGCCTTCAAACATAAGTTGATTAAGTGTTTTGTTTTCCTAACAGACCTTCTGTGATTAAAGTGATGTATACTTAAATGAACAGTTCGGAGTGCCAACTGGCTGTTCGTATTTTATGATGCCCCTAACCAAATAGAACGAGAAATAAAATAAATTAACGTAGGGAATGGTGTAGGGGACCTTTTTTAAATATGGGCTGGGGGGGAGGGGGTTCTTATGGGACGTGGCATGTTCCATTTGTTCCCAGTGCTTTCCAAACATAATATACAAAGGTGTTTGGCGGGCATTTTTCCTGTAGCCTTAGCAAGTCACAGCACGAGAAGGACGGCCATCAGTGAATGGCCTAGGGACATACATGAGTCTACAAACTTCTCTGAGTCTATTTGTAAATTTGTATTTAAACAATTGCTTTTTTTTTTTAAGTTGGAATACTTTCCTGCCTTTTATTCTCTTCTGGATGTCACCCCCTCTCATTTTATTAATTTGGAATTTAAAATAATTCAGCGGAATAAAAGATAATTATATTTCACTGGAATGTGTTAGAATTTCATTCTGGAGCATCTTGATGGCAACTGTTGTCACTTGAATGCGTTCAAGTGGGTGGAGGGTCTCTTCTCCTAGCCATAAAAAGGGCTTCGTCCAGGTACCCCTCGCTCCTTTTGTGCTGGTCAGAAGACCCAGCGCCGAGGACAATCCCGTCCTGGGTGTAACTCATACTGTGCTTCCAACACGGATTTCAGCTTTGACTTACCACAACCATCATTTTAAATAGAACCATTACTTACACGCCAAGCATGGCATTTCACGCATTCATACACGACGACAACTCGGCACAAAATACATGTTTACGTGTCCATATCTTTTGTTTCACGTCATCTTCTATAAATAGGGTCTGGACCAAAGTAATTTGCTTTAGGAGTTCATTGGGCCATCTGGAGGAATTGAATGGAATCTCTGGTTTTTGTCCAGCCTATTTTACTAGCCCTTTTGTCCTTCCAAGTATATTTTTATAGTGCTAAATGATGCTTTGGGTTTTTACTGAATTTTCATTTCCTTTCACTGACTAATGAGAGCGTGTGAGAGAGGCTGTTTTGTGGTCATGTTACAGATGTTGTTAAGGGTGACCCCAGGTGCGGACCACTCTCCATCGAAGCTGGAAAGCCAGAAACATGGTCGGGGTGAGAGGGTAGGGAATATCACGGATGATTACAATCGGTAGAGAGGATCGTCGCCAACTGGCAGGTAGCGTAATGGTTAAACAGCTGGCCTTGTGACCTGAAACATGTGAACACATTCTCCGGTTAGGCAGCATGTTGTTAAAGCTGTTAAAGATACTGAACGATAGTCGTTCCGCCGAGTCTTGAGCACAGCAGTGATGCTTAAACAGCCTAGTTAATAACGACTGTCTGCCGCACACAAACCCTTGCATACATAAGGTATAATATTTATGAACATGCTAAAAATGTTTGAGATATCTAATCCAGAAACTCTTTTTAAGCCAGGATTAGCTTCAGATAGTACTTCAAGTGTCATATTTTTATTTATAAGAACATCACACTGTTCAAGGTATTTATTTAAATATGTTAAGAAAATTGAAATTATTATTAAAATGTTGTTAATAGTAAACAATAAATTACTTCTGTTAGTGTTTTGTGGAAAAAAAGCAAATGCCTATTAAAGAAAAAAAAGACTGATTTGCGTTTTGAGCATCCCTGATCTCAGTATCTCAGTGTTAGAATATAATCGGCTCTCTTGAAATATTTTATGGTACTGTACTCCACTGATTGCCCAAACATTAACGTATTAATTGGCAGGTCGGTGTTTATTCCGATCTCACTACTGATGCGTCGTATTACTGCATACATTGTCCATTTTTTAACCCTGTCTGTTTGGTGTGATCGCTTTATTGCATTTACCGTATTTACCGCCATTTACCCATTCGCCAGTGGTAGGTGCGTAACGCCCAGACAGACGCGCGTCGCCCTCTCAAGGATCATGTGACGGATGGACGCTTTCAAAGGAGAAGCGCTTCTGCAAATTAAAGCTTAACAATGTTACCTTTTGTTTTTGTGCATAAAATATTAATAAGCCGTTTACGTCATCGTGCGCGAAGAGAAATACTTTTAAGAGAGATTATTAATGTAATCGAAAACTAAGAATGAGTTAAAATATATATTAATTATAATTAAAAATAAGTAAAGGTTTTAATGGAAAAAGACATTGCTTTACAAAGAGTTTTATTGAATTTCCTTTTGGATGCGATAATGCTATGCATATGTTTCACAATAAGAAAGGTCTATGTATAGGTAAAAGCCACGCACGGATTTGAAAATGCTTTTTTAATGTGAATGCGGCTATTGGAAAGCTAATTATTACGATACATTAAGTAAAATAAACAGAAGCCTCCTAAAATTCAAAAGTACAGTAACAATAACGACACCTGTTTAAACTGAATTTTTTTTTTTTTAAACCGACGGAGATAAAAATCAATCTTTAAAAAAAAAAAATCCAAAAAGCACACATTTATTTCACTTAAGTAAACAAAGACCTATTGCTTCCTAAACCGCAGAGGATCCGTTTCCTGAAACGGCGGACTTTTTCAGCCATGCCTGTATGCGTGCTGAGACGAAGCCCTTATGCATGCTGTCATTACATGCACATTTAGGTCAGAACTATATATACACATGCCTTTTTCTTTTCAGTAATATAAATGAACTGAATGAAAATTAATTGACAACATTAATCAAACTATTAGCCTTTACATATGAGTAATATAATGTATGGTTATACGTTTCTGAACCAGAACGATATATACACAAACAGCATATGTAGACACAAATTTGTCATATAGCCAGAAGTTTTGGTTCCTGCAGCACAGGGTTCACTGACGGATAGATCAGGGTCCAGACAGGAGACCCTCTGTATAGAATGTGTGTTTAGGAATTAATTCTAATACTGTAACTTAACTTTTGTTTCCTGTGATGTTTATGAATGATTTGTACCACTTTCTTAAGGACCACTAAGCCCTCAAGCTCCTTCATTCAAAATCTACCGTGGGGGTCACCTTAAAGTCCAGGGCCAGCTTTTAATCCAAGTCTGCAGGGGTCCGTCCACATTATTCTGTTTACCTCGACTTGTAAACGAAACCCTGTCTGCTTAACTGAGAAATAAAAATGGCAGATGACTAGCAAGGCGAACGTTAATTGTAAATGATCCTCTCCGCCCTGCATGTTTCATGCACTCAGTATGGGAGGCTTGTTTGATGTGGTGCATATCTTCCCAACGGGAAACAGACCAACGGCTTTGGAATATCCTTGTAACGTGGTTTACTGAGGTAAGAATGCCAGTAAAACACGACGACGGCTCCTTTTCATTTCTTGCATCTTGCAGCGCCCCACATCTAACAAGCCTCTGATAGCTGTTCAGGCCGCGGCGGTGCTATCTATGAGAGTTGCCGCATTTCTGTGTCTTTAGCATGCAATGACGATAAATGCAGCTTTAGCCAAGTTCATAGCACTTAAAAAAAGTTGTCAAACATTTATGCACCACAGCAGGCATGACTGATGGGTCGAGCGCGATGGGAAGCACCAGACTCTTCCCAAAATGTGGAAAACTTTCGTTTCGGAGTCTCCCATCGACTTAGGATCGTAAACGCAGACTGGGGCAAGAGCGAGACTGAGACGACAAATTTACTACTTTGTGTTGAATAGCTATTTACTTTTAAAAAATGCTCCTTTACTTCCAGTTAGCTATTAGCAGAATTTTATTATTAAAATATTGCCGTATATTTTCCTTCACGAAGCGTATAAGAGGGGAAACAGGGAAAAAAGTCTAATGTGCTTCCACTTCTGTCCTGGGGGATACATGAAAGGATACACCTGGAATTGATGGATTTTTTTGGTGGGATTTTCCAGTTGAGGGTGATAAATCAAACACAGCGATAACAAACCCCTCCTCTGGAATACCTCTTTAATAACTTCCACAAAAACCCACAGGAAGGCCGCTTTCTGTTTTCATTTTCCCGCAACATTAGCAAACCTAGACCTCCTCACAGTAGCCCCCGGACCCCCCTACGGTGCTCGTCCCGGTACACCCCGACAGACTGTTGCCCACAGCGTGCAAAAACCATTACGCAGGAGCAGTCACTGAGTCGTACCAGCTGGCTACACTGTTAATGTGGCCGCGCTCATCTAAAGAGCACGCGAGCCTTTTTTCCCATAATGCACCTCATTTTATCTCATCTTCCTGTCTGAATACAGAAGCCAGTTTTTTTTGCACATTACTGTATCTGTCTGATATTAGTGGTACAATGGTAGCAGGTAGTCTGTTCAGAATCGGATGTGAAGTAAGAGGGTGTTGGTCTTATTCCCGGGAGAAACCTTCGTGTTTTATACTTAAACAAGGAACAAGGAACTCAACTCAAGACTTTTGTTGATAATTTGCCGGCCTGTTTATGCGAGTTGCTTTGGATAGAAGCCATTATATTTCCCCACGACAAATTGGGTTTTTTTTTTTTTTGTGAAACTGCAAATTGCTTTGTGTGAAGCCGCTTTTGAAAAATTATTGATTTTTATTGTTTTGATATTCCTTCACATATCGTTATCGGTCGGGCATCTTTATAGACAGCACTTGGTGCAGCTGGATATTTTTCAGGATGTGGGGATGGATGCGAAAGCCGCATGCTGTTTTTGCCGGGACTCTGGGGGCACCCCCTGTAGCCCCAGGCCCAAACTCTCCGCCTGGGCATTTTTTTTGTTTTAGCCTGGCCTCAAATGTCTCCGCTGGGATGGTTTGAATTTGGGAACGCTATTAATGGTCTCCGGCTGGCAAAGCTTTGGCACACTCTTGCTCATTAATCTTCATCTCTGAGGCTGGTACTTTAAAAACCACTGACACTGTGTCCCCCGCCCCCCCCCCCCCGGACATGAAGCGACCACCATCCCAGCCAATTTGACCTCGCCGCCGAGCGAGGTGTGGTCTTACTCGGATCCACAAGTCTCGACCACGGCACCTTAACAAGAGTTGCGGCAAACTTATCAGCACCGGAAGATGCTTACCGCTCCGCCGACCGGATTTCTCTCCTCCTGTCGCCTAATGGTCTCCTCCAGGTCGATGAGTCTGTAATCCCCTCGCCCGCTTTCTGGGTACGACAGAAACCAATTAGCGGTGGGTGGGCAGCCAGTGCTCGGCCGAGTTTGGCAGCTCCGCTGAGCGTTTCAGCACAGCCTGGGAACAGAGAGAACGGTGAGGCGAGGTCTGCTGGGTTTACCGGCACATTCATTTCTTTGGCTCGCAAAGTAGCTGGGGGGTAATTAATCCTGTTTTTCCCCTGGATTTTTCTCCTATCTGTGTTTTTTTTTAATTTTTTTTTTCGTGAATCAATGCCATCATCTCCTCGCACAGACACAGAGACAGAAACACAGACACACGAATTCTCTCTCACGCACGCACACAATTTTCCTTCCATTTGGTGCCTTGGTTGAGTTTTTTTTTATAAATGTGTTGTGCACATGTGCAGTAGAGGGATGCATGCAGAAATAATACCCCGAACAGCCAAAAAACATTAAACCGAGGTTGTTGTTGAAGTTTGTTTCCCATATGAAAATGGAAGTAATCTTGAAAGTCCCTCGGGCTGTCAGACCCACCCCACCCCTCAGGCCCTACTAAATCATTAACTTTCGCAAACAGCTAATATGCATGATTACCTTTTTCTGAGCTCAGCCCCCTCCAATTTGTTCACTTATTATATTATTCTGTTAATTATTTATACCCAGAATAGAATACAGAAACTTCTCTGTTAAAATCCGGATTATAGGAATATAAAGGTTGTTTGTAAACTTCTAAGGGATCTGATTTCTACAATAGCAAACATTCCTGGTGAAGTTGGACAGATAGAAGACATTTCTGCTTCTTATAATTTGTTTTTTTTCCCCCAGTACATTTAATCAGGACTCTTTAAGACCACTTTAGAAGCTCAGGCAAGTCACTGAGTCGATTTTTCGTGGAGATTTGGGATTTAAGCCGGCCGTTCTGGAAGCAGCCCAGATTTCCCTGACTGCCCCATGACTGTCGTACTAAAATGGTGGCCAGTTTACAAAAATCATACTTCAGATGTTTAAGACGTTTGAATAAATTACATCTTTTTTTCTCCTCGCTGGCTTACCACTGATTTGATTTTTCCCCAAACAAAACTATGAAAACAAATTTTCAAACTGTGATTCTTTATTCTTTGTAGTCCCAAAGTAAATTGACACACAAAAACGTTTGTTACATGATCAATTTGAAGTCATTGTACACTGTTAGAAATGCAGTCTCTTGTATACATACGCATACTTATTCATTTCTTAATGTTTGCGGACTGTGAAGCACGATTCATGTTAATTTACAAAGGGAATTTAAAAACAAAGAGGATATTTTGTTAAAGTGCATTTTTAAGTCATACAGCGTAATTTATGGTTCTCTTATGATTATATATTTTTCACAGTGATTTTCACAAACTCTCTTTTTTTTTTCTTCTTACGTGATTCCGGCCTAAATTAACCTTCATAAAAAACTCTATAGAAACCTTAAACCACAACAGGCTGACATTAATGGGCCCAAATAGTCACCTGATGCAGAGGCTTGACTGGTCAGCTGCCCTTTGAAAGCTCCACTGATCACCAGTCAGCGTATTTATCAGTCACGCCCGAATGCCTCCTCCCCTCCCCCGATCTTTAATGTCTTTCAATTATTGCAGCGTTTCCCTTCCCAGTCCAGACAGGTGTGTCGGGATCTGGGAGGGAGCAAAAGATGTGGACTGGCCGGGGGGGGACCCTAAGGACTGGGTTTAGGGAACATTGGTTTATTATGTGTATTTGGTTTTGGCTGTCACTGTCCGCCGATGTCACATCACCAGGGATGCAAGGGGATGTGGAAGGGCCTCTAGCTATCGCTAATTTAACACCAGAAAAGCACTCTGATGTTACTACCAGTGCCTCTGAGCTGAGTACCAAATGGGACCACCCTCACGGGCTTTGGCGTCCTGCTTCTCTTGATTGGCTGTCACCCAGCCTATGAGGACCCTGTGATTGTCCCATGGGCACCGTGTGACTGTGATCACCATCGAATGGTGCCGCATGGGTGAATGGGCAAGGGGGGGGCAGGGGTCTTGCTTCTGGTTTACAAGGATGTTCCACTTTACCGCAGAGATTACTGAGGCTGGGCTGCTCGTCGGCGTAACCGATTGTCCCCAACAGATGAGCGCGCAATAACACATAATCGCTGCTCTTAAATGAACCATCAACATCACAATTACGCTAAACAAAGTCAGCCCTTTGTTAAAAGGAGCAGGTTGGTCAGACTGTGAGGAATTCATCCCGCCTTTGATCATGCTACAGGTCTCACTGGGAGGGTCACGGCAGAATGGGCAAAAAAAGATCTTCAGTTGCCCGTTTAGTTTCCTGGGTGATATTATATAATATCTTTGCGGAACTAACCAAGATGCAGGACAGCTTAAAAAAAGGGAACGATGTTGGACATCCTGCAGAGTTTTAGGGTCGCCAAATTTCTCATTTAGTAACCGTGTAGCTAGAACACAAAAAAGTGGCGAAATAGTTTGGGAAAATAATCATGGCTGTCATTTCTTTAATTCCCAGCTTTTTTTTTAACCTCCCGAGTGCTAAATAAGTCAGCCACCATAAGCAGATTATCCAGTCACCGCCCTCGATCTGGAGCATTTTATTGATTGACAATCTCAGGCGTTTCTGGCCCCTCGCCGTCCCCCGGATGCTGACGTGACGCTCGTCGTACATGAGTCAGAGTCGCCAAGGCGAGGCCCCCATGACCTCATCTCCTGCCTGCCAGCGGCCAATCAGGCGGCACGCCGGCATCTCCAGTACCTGTTATCTCCACTGGTTCCACCAGCAGGAATGAAAGCGGGGGGGGTCCTGATGCGAGAGCCAAAGAAAAACCCGCTTCCCTATCCTGGAGCCCCCATTCTGAAGCCCCCCCCCAGTAGCCTAATTCACTCATGATGATTATTAGACACCAGCCGGAGGTTTGCAGAAGGATATTGTGCTTAGGAATTTTTTTGGGGTGTCTTTGTTTTTCACTCTGCATGTTTTAGGTGGGGGGGGGGGGGTGCAGGTGCAGGGACGTATGGCTATGATTTGGACAGAATGGGCAAGTGGGATTCAAACAACCCACCCCCCCCCCAACACACCCTACTTAAATGACGACCGGCTTGGAAATGCCGTCCCCGAAGAGAAATCCGACTGTGATTTATCCGCAGAGATAAAACGAAAATCTGAAGCCGGCGCATTTCATTTAAAGGCCATGCTGATCAAACTGCCACGTGCATTTTCGAGACAAATGTTGGGGCCCCCCTTTCTGGTTTGTCCGTTTTATGCTTTCTATTTACCCTCCATCCTATCTGAATATCTCCGTGGGGATGTAGCGCTTCCGAAGGCCTTGTGCGATCCCGGGAGAGGGCTTCGCGCACGTAGAGGGCCTATGAATCACCGTCGGGCGATAATAGCTATTGTTTTGCAGGTATTAGCGACACAGTGGGAACGCGAACAGCTGGAGCTGCACGCGAAGCCGAACAAGATCGTGAAACATCGACGGATGCCAGCTTGGGCCGCGGGCTGCCGGGAGTCAAGCTGTGATCCAGGACTTTATAGTGGTGAAAATTAGGAGCGGTTTGTCGCCCGAATAGCCAAACATACAGCAGCACCAACAGGGAGAATTAAAATAGGATATGTACTGAATCTAAACGTGAAACAGAACCAAAGCCGACCGGGCAGTAGTACTGTCCGTGGGACTCATCTGCATGTCCCAGTCAGTCCCCTGCTGGGCCCTTGTCCTTTTTCCAAATTTGCGGGACTGCGCCGCGTGTGCGCGGTGTTTAAGATAAACGGCAGGAATTGCACAGTAAAGCCACGGGTTGCAAAAGCAAAACGGTGCCCCTCTCGACATTCCTGCCCCATCTGGCACTCACCGGATTCCCACGCTTTTTAATCGCAGAAAGCGATTAGCTGGATGTCTGAGCACACTTTCGTGGGTGACAGTGCACAACCGCTGGACTGTAAATACTTTGCATGCATAAATCATTTCCATTCCACCGTGGAATGCGGAGCAATTTGTTTTTTTTTTCTTTTTTGCATGTGTTTGTAACTACAGTAATTTTGCGGTAAAAAAATCAGGATAAATATTTTGCAAAACTGTGTCATAATCATCCTGTCTGGTGTAATTAAAAAGTGCACGGCAAAGAAGTAATCTGTACCACAGAAGGGCTGGATGTTCCATTTGCAATCAGCTGTAAAAGATTCATACAACACAGCTAATAATAATAATAACAATAATAATGACAATGGAATAAGATATGATTATAGCAGCTGTTGTGTGTTTACCTTTGTATTAGTAAATTAAACAATACATGCAGATGATTTGAGACTTACATGATTCTACAAAGCATCCAAAATATGACTCACTTAAAAACACATACTCAAAGTACATCATCATCTAAACAGCATATCTGTGTTTAAATATGAAAACCTTAAAAGCATCTCAAGCTGGCTCCATTAAGCTGCACAAGATGGTGTTTGTTATATCTGCACATATAAAAAAAAAAAAAAACGGACAGACGTCAGATTAACCACTCAGCTCCCCGGAATTTGGAAGCTCCATCATTACCCTAAGTAGTTTCACATCCTACATCCCGGACAGGAAACAATGAGTCTCTGGCTGGCTTTAAATCCACCCCCAGGATCATGTTTCCTTACACCGTCTGCCTCTGTCTCTGCATTACACACTGAATCATTGACTTTATACCTGAACGATCCACATTCCTAGCTGTTGGACAGTAATAAAACAAAGCTTCTGGGCTTTTAGTTTCTGAAGCTACGTTAAGAGATGAGTAATTCACATTTGCCCATAATACTTTGAACATGCTGACATTCCAAAGACATTTTTTGTACTATACAATTTGATCTTTTTTTGTTTTTTACGTGAGCTACCCTGTATCTTTCAGCTTCTATCCATACCTCCTACAGATACAATGACATAGTGTTTCATCAAGGCCCCATCAGCCTACTCAATGAACTACGATGCCCTCCAGAGGTTGGGCTATGAGTAGGAGTTAGAGAGATGCATGGGTAAGAGATCACCTGACTCTCGGGCCGACACTGCCGGCTCTGTGGAGCCCCGCGCAAATTACAGACTGCAGCTCTTGTTCCTGATCTTTAAAAAACCGACATGGATCAGTAGACTGGGCAACCTTCTAAACCTCACTTGTTCCTTGTAGCTCCTGATAGGGGTCCTTACAAAAATGTGAGAGATAGAAAGGGATAGAAAGAGAGAGCGATCACCTGCATCTTGTGACACGGCCTCCCTTGTGAAGAGCTGCAGCACCCTTCTTGGCGGTCCACCAAAACCAACGTGGATCGGAATCTGGGTACCTTCTTAACCCCTCAGTG